GGAAAGTGAAGATCTTATCACTAGATCAAAAGTTAATCAGGGAGGTCTGTTTATATTTTTGTGCGCATTAACTGCGGCTTTAATATCAGGGTTTCTTCATATACTGATGTCGCCAAACATGAAATTCAAAAATATTTTGCTACTGAAGTCTTAAAATCAGGTAATTTCTGTTTTATACCTGATGATAGTGCATGCCAAATGCAAAATATTTTTTAAAAATAAATTTGGTAATTCTATTTTTTAGAAAAATATCACCAGATACGTAATTAACTCTCAAATTAATAGTAGCAAAATAAATATATGAAAATTCATTCTGATAATTTTTAAAATCAGTTTTCAGTATTTTTATTTTCAATTTTTAAAATCTTGAAATTAGAGTCATTTTCACGTTTTACCATTCAAACTTCGCATACTGATATGCTAAGTTGCGTAAAAATGTACAATCAAAACGCAAAATAAAGTTAAAAGTTCAGGCAATTTTTTCTCAAACTATAAATTCTAAGCTCATCGATAGCGATCTATTAAATGACATATTTATTTCTACTTATAACGAGTTTTAATCAAGAAATAATCGAAATATATATGGCAACATCTATAAAATGCATAACACTCTCCACGTAAAAAGAATGTTTACTTTTCTGCATTGTCATATGCCCAGCAATAGTAGTAATGTATTTAATAATAACCAGAGCTGATATTGAAAAGAGTGTTTGTTCTTTGCACATTTCATCGTATAGAATGCTAATATAAAATAATAGACAAAATATCTGTGACTAAAAATGTAGCAATTTGATGATAAAAGAAATAAATTTTTATGCTTAAATGAATTAGATTATATTATTGGTTTAAGATAATGTAAAATCGAACGAAGAAGATTTTGCATTTCGAATACGAAATTTACATATTAACAAGACAAGTCTCACATTCAGACAACTTATTGCTGAAAGGAAAACTCGTGTGATATTTTTTTTTAATTTTTAGATTTTTGTTTGTTTCTTTTTTTTTTCTTTTAGTGCATGGAAGGCAGATAAGAGACTCATTTTTGTGCACAAATGTAGCATTTATAAAATTTAAAGAAAGAAAGAAAAAATTCTTTACATAATAGTTTTTTTCCCACATCAACACATAAAAGAATTTATACATTAAAACAAATACCTATTTCTTCTTTTTGGCCCTTTGCATCACAAAAAATAATTAAATTTTGGGGAAATCTATGGCAATAAACGAAGAAAGATTGATGATTAAACCACGTGTTTTACGACGAAATCTCACGAATCGGGAGCGTCAAAAAAAGGTTAATTAAATTTACGATTCGAGATCCACGTGTTATAATGAATAATATCGTATTAGATAAATCGAGATTTCAAAAAATATTCAAAAATCAGTAGTGATAACTGCCGAAAAATTGATTGAAAAAACGATAAAACTATCACATTAAATAGTGAATATTCAGGTGTGCTACTTAAATTTCCCGTATCATAATAATATCAAGATATTAAAAAATCATTTAAAAATTAATAGCAATAAATGCCTTCCACCTCCACAAAAAAACAGTTCGAAATACCGCATGAATTTAGCGCAAATCGAGCGCGTCAAGAAGTAATTACGCAAATGTGCTATTCGAATATCCCGCTTCTTAATAATATCGCTTCCAAATATCGGGATTAAAAAAAAACGCTTGGATATCGATAGCAATAACTGTGACAAAGTCGATTGAAAAAACAGTAGTATCGTGGCGTCAAAAATGGCTAATAAATATAGGCCTTGAATTTTGCTTAAGTTGCGTTAACTACATCAGTTGGATTAGTTGCAAAAAAAAAAGAAAAGGAAAAAAGAAGGGAAAAAAAGCAGATTTGAGAGCGTATCAAGCGAGTTGAAGTGCACGATTCAAAATTTCCATGACGTAACATCATATTTAAATCTCGATATAATTGTAGCCAAATAAAAAAAGGGGGGAAATATATCACAGTGGTTAAATAATTCTTCTGTTACGAATCGAAATTTGCTACATTTTAAAATATCAATTTCATACATTTGCGTTTGCCCCAGTAGAATTATTTTTCAATCTTGTTTTCTCGAAATTTATCCAAAGTTTTTCTTTAACGAATCTGCTTTAAAGTAAAATAAAATAAAAAGCCGTTATCGCCAGTCTGAGCTTATTAAGAAAAGAAAAGGATTCTGGTAAGAGCAGTATATACTTTGTTAACGGGAACGAAATATTTGCTGTGTAAGTTACAAATTTAAATTTTAGATATGCGAAACTCTCCGAGAAAATTTCATCGGAATATAAATTATGGATTTGCGTAAATCGGCGAAACAACTGTCTTAAGATTTGCGGAATTCCGCGAGTTAGAGAAAGAATCGCATGTCTACAGCACATTAATGGATTTTGCACTTTAATAGTACAGAGGTACTACATGGCAGAAATGTAATCCTTTGCAAGTGAAAAACGTCCAATCCTATACGTGTTGTTAAATTATTACAATAAGTATTAGGAATGTTGCAAACTTTTTTCATTAATCTATACATCTAATAGAATAAAGATTTTGTGCGCATGTAAGGGATTGCAGGTACTATACCGTAGGCACTAAAAATAAGACATTGTACGTGAAGTTAAATGAGTACTATTGTCAACAAATAACGAAGCCCGATTTTCGAATTCTTTTTATTCATTATTTTAATTCAGAGACATTTTTAAAAAATGGAATATTTTCATTAGTTTAGCGGAAGTCTTTGTCTTAAACTATAGAGCAGGGGTCTCCAACTTACATGAGGCCAAGGGCCGCAAGTAAAAACACCAGTCAAATGGCGGGCCACAACTTTATCAAAATTTTATTTAGGACTCTTTTATATTTTAAGGAACATTAAATATTACTATCAGATTTTTATCAAAGTTTTTTAATATTAGAAAACAAAATAACAAGCATTACAACTAATGCTTGTTACGTATCATTTTGAATCTTTTCTTAATCAGAAACTTAGTGACAAGATTTTTTTAAAAATTTAATTCTGTGATAAATTAACATTTTTTTTGACTTATTAGGAATTATAGCAACAACAAAAAAATTTTCGAGCATTAGAAATTAATTTTTTTGCTTCTTTTCTGCTAATGAGATATTCAATTCAAGGAATTTAGATAAAACATGATATTTATTCCCTCTTTCATGCGCTTTAAAATTTACAAATGTAAATAATTTCGTCCAAAATGAGTGGTTTCCAAAAGTTAAATCGGAGAATTAACTTTTCGAGAAAATTTCTGATACGCACATGCTAAATTATGTTCACAAAATACAAAAAAGAAAAAGAGGAACATACACGATTATTTTTGTATTTGAATAAATATTTTCTTGGATGCAAAACCTGAGAAAGAAATTTTTTTGCACCGTTGGTATGAAAATTTCCCAAAAACGAAAAAAAGTAGGGTTTTTTTTTTTTTTTTTTTTTTTNAATTAGGTTTTTCTTAACGAGAAAAGTATTTGATACCCATATAGATTTTTTACGAAAATTGTCCGCAAAAAAATTAAAACTAATATATTTTAGTTCGCTACTAGATACGATAGATGCTACGGAAATAGTTTTTTTACGGCCACTCTAAGCTATAAGTACCGAAGAAAATTGCTAGATTGTGGTACATTTTAAATGTCATGAGTTTCCTTGAGCAACAGTTTTTTGACAGCTGACTCTGAATGCAATTAATCTTTGTTCTGATGGGATGAATTACCTGCTCAAACAACGTAAAGCCACTCGAATACAATCAACCAAAAAATAATAAATTAAAAAGTTTAGCCTCTTTTGTCGGTATTTGTATTTCAGTACTGTGCGTGATTTTGCAGTGTTCTTCAGTACTGATTTATTGATTTTTTTTTCACCCCTTATGAAGAACAGGCATTCAACTGGTATATATTTGAGATAATATGCAGTATGAAATAAATATTAAATTATTGCAATGTAGTACGGCAAAGTTATAGTGATCGATAATTTATGATTTGCCGGCATAAAATCTGCTAAATTATTGCCATAAAGCAGTAATGAGTAAATATTTTTGACATGAGTTTAAATGCATAAATATTTATTGGCATGAATTATTGTTGAAATTTCGAAATTACAGCAAAATTAAAACAAAGAACTATGGAATTATTTTCATAAATTATTGATCAATTATTGTAATAAAGCATTGAAAATTATTAGGATAAAGCCACTAATAAAGTATATAATATTAGGAACGTGTACTAAAATTGATAGTTATTTTTATATTAACTCACTCAATTTTTTAGTTTAAGTTAAATATTTAGTTCGCGTATTTTTAGTCTCAAGTTGTCTAATTTAAGTTTTATTAATGAGAATAAAATCATACTAATATTTTCTGTCATAACACAAATCGTCAATTGATAACTGAGGAAATATTGCAAAGTATTTTTAAAATTACTAACTTTAAAATAAATAGTATGAAATTTATACCATAAAAAACATGAAATAGAAAAATTAAAATAGTCTTAAAAAAATAATCAGTAATAATATTACTTTATTTCCAGCAAGAAAAGGGTTATTAAACATTTAAGTCAAATTTGTAATTCTTCAGTAGTGTAGAGCTTATACACTAACTTCCAAAAAAATGTTTAAAAAATATCATTTTTAGGAATTTATTTTCTGGAATTTAATAAAATTTATTTTTGCTGCATTTATTTATTTATTTATTTATTTGCAAAAATCATCTAGTTCCTGAAATATTTCATACAATGTTTAAAAATGATTTTTGTTGGCACTTTTTTTGTAACGGAGGTATAAAAAAAAATATATTTATAAAATATAAAAAACAGTATAATTTATACATTTTCTCTTATTATACAAGAGAGTGGAGAAAAAATACTGAACGAATGGTAAAAAAAAACTTTTTTTGCTAAGTGTATTTTTTTTTTAATTAATTTACTTTTTGTCTGATGCATAATTTATTCTATTTTACATCATAAAGCTCCATTTAAATAAGAGGAAAAACGCCTTACCTGTTTAAACTGTTACATGCAGAATATTAAAAGATTTTATCATGCGAGCAGAATTCTTAATTACTGTCTCTTCAAAAAAATTGTCAATATTAGACACTTTTTCCCGTACTTAACAGATAATGCAACTCGAGTTTTATCTTAAGAACTACTTCTTCAACTACCGCTCTTTACCGCGCTAAGTTTCCGACTGCGTGGTTTGCCTAGCACTTGCTTTCCCCTCAGCGTTCGGGACAAGAGGCACATGCCAGTGCGCAGTATCTGGGGGATGTGTACATATAAAATATTGTTAAACAAAAAATCCTGTTGCATTTCGTTAATTTTGATGGCGCTTTTCAATTCCTAAACCATCTGGAATATTAAATAATATCACACTGGAAGAAATATATTCAAACAGTGATATTGTTATTTTCTTAATTAATAATAATTAATTTCATGTTAGGAGAAATTTAAATTTAAACCCTATATATCGCCTTATTGTTCAGTGTTAAATCAAAATTTCATCGATGATTAATTTCCTGCTCGTTGCGCTCACCAAAACCCGAAACTGTTTTCGCAGTTCCTTTCAGATTGCTTCGCAATTCCAGCTAGCTTCGCTTGCTCATTGAATACTTTTCTGCAAGGCTAACTTTTGTATGTATTTTGATGCATTTTTTAAAAATAAAGTATTTAAAATGTACAACAATTAAATCTTGAAACATTTAAACCTTTAATTTTTGTACATTACATCCAATACGCATTTTACTCTCCCTCAACTGTTTTATTTTACCTATTACTCTCGTGAGCACTTTGACTTTAATGTTCTAACTTAATTTCCATTTTAAACCATTAAATTTTTGTCTTTTTATACAATTTATAATCTAATCTTCTCATCTTAATATCGTCTGGTTTTATGCTTTGGATCTTAAAATGTTCGAGATGAAACAAAGGGAAATGTCCGTTACATAAATTTCTTCACTACGCGAAGAGAAAAAATGGTAAAACTGGTAAAATTTCCTTACTGTGTCGTAATGACATTTCTGGTAAAGGAAAAAAAAACGTAATTCTGGTAAGTGAAACCAAAATATACAATATTTAAACCATTCATTTTGTAACTTTTCGTTCATATAGTAATAGTTTATCCCAAACTTTGGTTTTCAAAATTATTGTTTTTATTACCACACATTTAGTAAAAAGTTCAAAACTGAAAAGTATATTGGGCAAAAGTTTACAACCGAATAAACTGTTTTTATGCCATGAAAGTATCATGATAAAATTATTAAACATTTCCACATTTTCAAATTTTATCACATATTATAAAACTATAATTTATCGTTGATTTTATCAAAGTGATAAGGGAAAAAATTACCGATATTTTTGGTGTTTCCATAGAGCCAGAAACACGGTAAATTTTACCAAATTCTGGTAGCTTTGGCCAAATTTTTTTTTTCTTCGTGTATATAAGGTATGTAATGTTACAATACCGGTAGTACATACTTTCTTAATTGTTTAAGCATTAATGGCATCAAGAAAAAATTGGTGATCTTTTTTTGCGACTCCCAAAACGGAGTAGTAGCTACATTTTCCTCTTATATTGTATAAAATTCAAAGAAAAGTTCATAATAAAAAGGAAAAAATCAAATCACTAATGTCGAATTGAATTTGATTAGAATGCAAACAACTTAATTCAGCATAAATAGCAAAAAGTAGGCTATTCAGAAAATTTACATCCACAATTGTAAATTTTAAATCAGGTTAAAGATAAGACAAAAATAAGATGAGGTTACGATTTAAAGGTTATCAATCTAGAAAGACAAATCTTAAGTCTTTAATTATGGTAACTAAAAAGCATTGCGAAATTAAAATTTACGATGAATTAAACACTGGTGTTGTTCTCTTAGTAGATGCTGTTATCAAGATCTTTCTTGCATTTGACTACTTAGTAGCTTAATCGTCCAGTTTCCACTACTGCGTTGACAAAGTGCAAAAGATATTTCATCAGTATACAGCACTAGTCACCTTAGGTGAGCAGCTTGGGCAAATTTCAAAATTATCTTGAGCAACATATAAACTTTGAAACCGAATGCACACTGCAACAGTATTTAAGTATTCGAATTCTACAGCACCCTTCTGAAATCTTAACACCTTAATTAGTTTTAAACAACATTTTAATTGAATTTTTTTATCGTCCAGCAGTTGTCCGTGGCTTTGCTCTCGCTGAAATTAATTTTAATTTTAACTATTTTCATGAGATATCCTGGATATTTTCAAAGTGTATTGAATGTCAATAATATTTTGAAATCCATCCGGTGGTCAATAAATCACACAAACCACAGTAAGTATGAGTTTAAGACATTTCAGCATAATGGGCAGAAGAAGCATTAAAATTATTTCCTTCTTTGTCGGGAGATACAATGGAAAACTCATTTCAATGCTTCATTACGGCCTGTACAACTTTCTTCATGCACCTTCTAAGCCATAACTTGATTATCGTGTGCTATTACTCGAAAAAGACGTGCTTCTTCTAAGCCATAAGTTGATTATCGTATGCTACTACTCGAAAAAGACGTGCTCCTTCTAAGCCATAACTTGATTATCGTATGCTATTACTCGAAAAAGACACGCAGATTCTAAGCCATAACTTGATTATCGTATGCTATTACTCGAAAAAGACACGCAGCTTCTAAGCCATAACTTGATTGTCGTATGCTATTACTCGAAAAAGACATGCACCTTCTAAGCCATAACTTGATTATCGTATGGTATTACTCGAAAAAGACACGCAGCTTCTAAGCCATAGCTTGATTATCGTATGCTATTACTCGAAAAAGACACGCAGCTTCTAAGCCATAACTTGATTATAGTATGCTATTACTCGAAAAAGACGTGCTCCTTCTAAACCATCACTTGATCATCGTATGCTACTAATCGAAAAAGACATGCTCCTTCACCAATAATTGGTATGACAGTCTATAGTACCATTTATGTTTAAAATTTCTACAGTACTTTTTATAAAGATCAAAAATAAAGCTATATAATTGCATCCCAAAAAATGTTTTATTTCTGAAACATAAAAATTTTTTTTACACACTTGCTTAACATTTAATTAACTATTCAATACTAATTAAATCATCACTTAAGAGAACGTAATAAAATTAGTAATAACTATAGTGTTGCCAACAGATAAAGAAATACCCGAGTTTGTAATGCCACAAAAAGAAATATGTATTAATATATGTATGTATGCAGCAATTGGACAAGATAATAAAAGCACTCATATGCTAACTCATTTTTTCATATATCTCAAGAAATATTAAATTAATTATTTTAAAACTTTAGAAATATTTAAGTCATGCGATTTCACATACATATCAAAAAGTTTAAAACTTTTGGAGGTTGGAGAGACCGGCAAAAAACTACGAACGAAAAATAATGTGTTTGGCTACCCTAAGCCAAAAAATACTGCGATAAGCTTGTAAGTCATATCAACTACATTGATTATCATATGAAATGAATGCAAAAAATTCCGTAAACCTAGCTTCATGGAGACATGGACATTTTTATTAAAAAAAATTATTTTACTTGCGTTTTCTTACCATACTGCAGAAATATTGAACAAAATTAAACAAAATTTTTAGAGTAATTTTTAATTAATAATAAAAATATCATTCTAAAATTTGAAAAAAATATCCTTAAATACTGTGCAATATTTGAGTATTTAAAGTAATATTTTCATACAGAAACATTTAAAAAAGAATTTTCATAATTTTGTTTTGAATTGTAATTAAAAATTTATGAAAAAAAGTTTTCTGAGAAATTTTTGTTCATTTGGAAATAAAGCTTTGAATAGTTAAGGGTTTTTCTCAAATTATATTTTGTACTATTAAACAAGATTTTTCATTAAGATCATTTAGAGCTTTCTTTAAAAGGTTCAAACTCTGCTTAGAAATTTGCTAAAAACTTTTTACATTTTCGAGTTATTCAAATCGGACTTATATAGTTAATAAATACGATTCTAAACATAATTTATGAAAACAAAATGTTCAACATTTTCCGCTCATGCGCAGTATGAAGGTATTTTTTAAAGATTCCTTTCTTATTCCATTTTGACGAATTTTTTTTTAAATTTTAAAATGATACCTTTTTATTATTAATTAAAAATTTGTATGATTTCATTTAATATTTCTGCTGTTATAGTAAGAAAAAACGAAAGTAAAAAAAATAGTTTCTTATAAAAATGTCCATATCTCCATAAATGATAAGTGTCTCTATATTTATAAATCTATATTTGTTAAGTATCTCTATATTAAAAAATCGTAAGTGTTTTATGTTCGTAAGCATCGTAATCACTACTGTTTCGTGTATTCAACTTAACGTTACATTTTTTTGCAGCATAAAAACTATTGGACTTTAAAACTTAAAAATATAAGAAAAAGGTATGTAGAAAACTACACAAGAAGTATGTTGGAATAAAAAAACCTTTCAGCGCATAAACTATACGACTAAAAATCTATAAATTACGGTGGAATATTGAAAATACTCACCGAGTTCACTGAAATAAAAAAATAGTATTTGATAATTAGCTCGGGGATAATTAATTTTAATTTTTTTAAAAAATATATCACGTTTGATGTGTAGGCCGTTGAAATGCAACTGCGGGATCAAATTTTAAATGCTGCAAGAGCCGTTTTTATAATTGATGAACAAGTGCTGATGAACAAAAGGCTCCCAGTTATTATAAAATCACAATTTTTACATCAACTTAACTGTATAATTTAAACTCTTTAGAATTAAATGAATTTGTAGGAAATAGCTTTTATAATAAAAATTTAAATTCTAAGTTTTTATTGTTATTATTAAGGATTTCTTCAAATCCGTGCCAGATATAAAAACAATGTTATAAATATAAATGCGACTAGCGGTTAAGTTTGAGGGAGGGATATCCTGTTGGAAATTGTACTTATTAACTTAACTCAATTTTTTTCATCCGAAAGTCCAGTGTTTTCGAAAGTTTTTTAAATTTTAAGTGCTCTTTAAAGTATTTTTTCTCATTTTTTGTTGCTCTAAATATTGGCAAATTATCGATTGTTGTAGATAATTTTGTTTTTCTTACTCCAGGTATTTTCTTTATTATACGTTCGTGCTTTAGTTAATGTCAATCAAAATTAAAGCGAGAGAGAGATCAGATGTGATTTGACAATAATCTTAACGTTCCTATTGAAACTTTTGAAAACAAGAAA